AAAATTATTAAAGTATTATAATTTAAGATATTATCTTATAAAACTTTATTAGATGTTAGTACTTAACCCTCCGTGAGCAAGCATATTTTTTGCATCTTCCATGGGCAATCTGAGTCATCTATAATTAACCTTCTTACTATTCTTCTGACTTACAAAAAATCTCAAAAGATTCTAAAATACTTATTTTTATTTTTTATTACTTAAATACTTATTTTATTATTTATTTAAAGAGTTGTTAACAAAAATAAAACTTCGAAGGAAAATTTAAAAAAGGTAGTAATTTGTTTAAAAATAAATATTTTTGCAATATATAAATATAAAAGAAAGTTATTACATAGTTTTGAATTTTTTGTTATAATCTTTTAGAAAATATCATGCACATTCGCAACGGCTTCGAGAAGTATAATTATTTTAAAATCTGAATTTTGAGGAATTTTGAAACAATAATGCAGGAAAAATCAGTGTATATATTACAAAAAGTTACGGAAAATGTATAAAAGAAAACCTCATCGATTTCGATGATTTTTTAATATGTGATGGAGGGCATGATTAAGAACGATCTCTTTTTATACATATTACTGGCGGTCAGCCTTAATTTCCGAGATATTTGCAAAAAACAGTCGCTACTACTACAGTGAATTTTGGATACAATTGTACATTTGTGGCAGCGCATGCGTCAATATTGGTTGCTGGCTGCCTTACGCTATATTAATACTCACAGTCTGCTATAGGATTTTATTTTTATTACAGCGATCAAGGCGAATCTCAAAAATTTTATCAGATATTAGGAAAATAACAAAAAAATAAAAATTTACTTACTTCCGAAAATACTAACGAGCAACCTTGGTCGTTCACGGTACAAGAACAATTTTTATTACTTGCTGTTCTAGAATAAACCGACTTGCACCAAATTCCCATTAGTTCTAACGACCCAGTTATTTTTTGTCTGAAACTTTTGATTACCTGCAATATAATACATATGAATGATTTCTTGCTTCATAATTTCTTCTTATTTTTACATTTGAAGCAATTGGTACTTTTTTACCAAGTAACTATAACATGAAAATGGTTTTGCTGGTGCTGGTACATAAAATTTCAAATTTGATGTGGCCTTATCAAATGTTATATGTTGATTATTAATCTTTATTAATAATACGATAAATTCAACAATGATCTATAGTAATGTATTATAAAAATAGACAGTCTAATAGATGAAATCTCATGCACATGTCTAACAAAGATTTCATTAATTTTAAGAATTGTTGAAATAATTGACTTTGATTTAAAATAGTAAGATTATAAAACTAAATTATGTATATTAATTTGTATAATGAAATTAAAATAGATGTTTATATTATAATTAATATAATGTTGTTTTTTTATACGTGGGGAAATCCTCATGGACACTCCCGCCGCCTGCTCTTCTGGGAAGCGTAGTATAGGTAGTGTCGGACTTTACCGACTAAAATCCCAAGGTGGACCACTTGACGCTCGGCTGGGATGCCCCAGAACCTCTTTCGAATTACTGCTGGAGCACTGCTGCGTCTTCTCCTGTCTGAGGGAGTCGTTCCTTGGTTAGTTCGGGCATTGGGAGGGACCATCCGTCTCAATGCTATCCCTTGGGCCGTTGTGCAAGTCTAAGGAGATCCAGATCCTCCTCGGCGTGTCGGTCCCTTAATATAATGTTGTCTGCAGAAAGGCTATTTGCAATTGTACCTGTTTGAAATTGTAAAATAATATCTGCTTCTTCATTAAAATCAAACTTCAAAATGATTTTTTTGCAGAATTGGAAAAACTAAAATAAGAAATATGTCATAATTAATATTATAATATGAGTTAAAATATTTCCATTTCTATTATTTCCACAAGTACAATCAGAATATACATAGAATGAAATAAAATGAATATTTAATATGAAAATCTATAAATTCTTCTACATGTTCTGTATTCCCATAAACCCATTATAAGACCCATAAACATTATTGCAACTTTATCTTTTGATGTCAAGAAACTCTACAAAATAACAAGTATTAATAATTCGAAATAAATAATATTAAATCTAATTTTTATACTAACATTTTCTCAATTAAATTTATATTTCAATTTTTATATTTCTGGTGGTTTGATAAAACAGTAAATTAAAACTGTTAATTTTCAGCACTGTCAGAAGCACTTATATATATCTCACATTGATTGCAGTGCAAACTCAGATGTTATATTTTAGATATGAAAGTTGGTAACTATACTGCGAATTTTCATGCAAATTCATATATTTTAAAATATAATTAAAAAAGTAGAACGTCAATAGGTATTGAAAGGAATTTCCGAAATTCAATACACATAAAACGAATAATAGTATTTCGCTGGTTTAAGCAAAACTTACTAGTTATGTAAAAAAAACAACTGGATATTATATTTCAGGTGGGCAACCTTAGCTAGAAACCAATGTGTTAGGAACTATAGTCAGAGAAAAAATCTTTCCTGTTTGATTGCACGCCAGCATATACAAGAATCTAACTATTTAATTTCGATGTTAGGGATCTGCTCTGATTGGTTCCACACTAGAGTAAACAAGAGCCTATTTAGTTCCACGCTAGAAGAACCTATTTAATTACACGGTTTTACGGAAAAGTTCATATCTACTTTTCTATCTGAGATAGATAAGTATGAGAATAACAAAATCGCGTAATAATTAAATTTAGTTGTCTAAGAATGAGAAATTAATCATTTATAATATTTTTTTTTAGAAAATAAAAGCAAATCCTTCCTTTCTTTATACACAATAGATTTAACAATTTTTAGATTTGAAATTAAATTTATTTTCCTTGCGATAATATTTTTATTATAAGAAAACCTAAATTTCATTTTAGTAGTAATTTTAGTAGTTGATAGTTTACGAGTAACATTTCTGGCGCGATATATCTGTTTTACTTTCGTATTTGTTTATAAAAATGATAAAAACAGAAGTATAAACTAACTGTACATAAGATTTGAGGTCATCACACATTTTTTTTCTATGATTTTTATCCATCTTACTTTCATTACTGAGTAAAGCTTATTAATTCTCTGAATCTATCTATAATTCTCTTAATCTATAGATTTAATCTATGAAGGATTATAATATATCTTGAGATTGATAATTTAACGCAGATATGCTTAATAGATTGCTTACCTGAAATTGTATCCAAAGACCGCCTTTTGTTTAAATGCTTAACATTATAATAAATAACAATATGTAATGACACGAGAAAAATAGAAAGAACAATGGGCTAGTATGCTATGGTATATCATGTTCGTGTCTATTTTTATCACCTATTAAACAAATGTAAGCCTTAAGCTAAAGATCCATTAACAATCAAAAATGAAACAATTTGCTCCAATGTATTTATATGGAACCATTCCTATAGACCAGCTAAACTGGAAAATTATTTGAAAAATTGGTTTCATACAAATATATGGGACCGTTACCACTGAAGCCATGTTCAAGTGCCTTGAAGGCTGATTTAGCACGGACTAGCATGGAGATGCCTCGTGAGCAATTTTTCGGCGATGTCACAAAGGCCCATCAAGCCCTAACCGCATCGTAGTCCATACCACAATCGGTTGATCGCTACGCTATTGTTTCTGCTTGTCAGTTTGTAAACTTGTTACGATTAGCAACCAAAATTTATTCGAATGACGAATAACAAAAAAAGAATAAACAATAAATACATAATTAACATTAAGCACTTAGTATCATAATGATGCAAAGTACACATATTTGGTTGTTAATATTTGACGGAAAACTAAAATTTAATGATTTTATTTATGTTTTTCAACATATCTAAAACATTTTCTTATTTTTTACTATTATTTAACCATCTGAAAAATAGTTTGTATCTATTTAATCATCAAACATTCCAATTTACAAACAAATAAATTTAATAAATATACAAATAAATAACAGATAGCAAATTTCAATCATATATAGTAAATAATTTATATCATTATGATGCATGACTCACCCATCGGAAAGGTCCAGATCTATTTGTTGTTTCTACTAACATGGGTCACATGCGGCGGATCTGATGATTCTGGAGGGACGTGTACATTATAAAGCAGCAATCCCTCAAAGAGCTTTCCCGCAATCTTGTGAAGGCCCTTTCTTCAACGACATAACAGTTTTTGCCTGCTCCTAAACAAAAGAACAGCGCTTCCGCTCAGCTCTATACTGTAAAACCGGCGAAGTGTCTTAAAAAATATTCATGCCAATATAATTGGCACGCCGAGTGCCAAGGGTAAATGTTAATGTTAATGTTAATGTCTGAATGGTGTATAGAAAACATTAAAATTATTGAATTATTCTACTGATCCATTATCGGTTGAAAGGGAATATTCTCTTGTTTTCTCTAACAAAAATATTGTAAGGTAGATCAGAGACGTGTTCAATATAGGTCAGCTTCTAACATTTAACTTTTATTGAAAATGGTTATATCTATACGCAATGGAGTCTCTACTCCATCTCACTATTTTTTCTTCGTGGAAACTTCGCGTATTTTCAGCAGCATGTTTGGTGGGAGTATTGTTACCAGGAGATGTTGGTGACGAAACGGGTTTGTGACACCACCAATTTGCTATTGAGGCCGTACTGAAAAACTTTAAAGAATCATGCCTTATGGAATGTTCTTTCTTGGAAATCATGGCTTTCTCAAAAATAGATTTTCAGTCATAAACCGTGCTAGCCGTTTACACGACAATTTTTTCTTTGTTAGCGTAGTTAGCCGTTACAATATAGTAAACAATTAATTTCTCTTTCTTAGGCAACTTACAATTAATCTAATTATTGCGCGATTTTTGTGATTCTTATACTTGTCCATCTCGAATAGAAAAGTAGATATAAATTTTTCCATCTAACCGTACAATTAAAAGGTTCTTGTAGCGTAGAATTAAACAAGATAGATCTCTAACTTATAGGTTCTTGCATATGCTAACGTGAATTACCGTTCAGTATCGTCCGTATGGTGCAGCACTAGCTAGGGAATCATAAGCGTGAGCACTTTCATTTCCACTCTGCTATAGTTTGTCCAATGAGACGAAAGAGTAGATATAAACAAAACCTGATTGCTGTGACCGCAGCTATTGACTCCCAAGTAGTGACGCTGTATATTGGTAATTCTGATTATTGTGAATTGTGGGGAATTTTATATTAAAATTGTTGGATTTTTTCATAATTTGCGCATGTCTTGCGCTTCTCTCTCGCTTTGTTGTATATAACCACTCTTTTCTTTGCAAATGCTCAAGTTCGAAGTTTGATCAGTGTTAAAGTGGCATGTGATATTGGTGAAGAAAGGTTAGAAGTTATTACACAGACAAAAGTATTTGCTGTTAAAATTGAAATAGACTATCATATACAATGAATATTGCGGATGGAGTTGGATACACGCGATCGGAAGTATTTGTACTTGTGGCAAGAATATCGTTTATTGCGGCTTTTGGATTTTTCAGTATGAAATGGATTATGAATCAACTTGATCCTACGAACAATGCAAAGAAAAAAGCTAGAAAAAAGGTTATATATTAATCATTTAATATTTTCAAAAATTAAGTCTTACATAACCTTTGTTCTCTATATATTAGAAAGGTAATCTTAATTTTTTATATATTTTCTATGAAAAAGTGTGATTTAAATGTTCTATAGGCACAAGAACAGTTACGAAAATTGGCCAAAACTGATAACCTACTGTGGACAGTAGATATGGATCAGTTGACAGATTATGAAATGATGATAGCTAATCATATAGTAGATCCTAAAGATATTCGAGTTTCATGGGAAAATATTGCAGGCCTTGAACATGTTATACAAGAACTCAAGGAAACTGTAATACTGCCTATACAAAGAAAGGAATTATTTGAAGACTCTCAATTAACACAAGCACCAAAGGTATATGATTCTATATTGTTAAATGATTTATATATTATAATCTGTATTTTAATTTTAGGGTGTGTTGTTGCATGGGCCACCAGGTTGTGGTAAAACAATGATTGCCAAAGCAACTGCTAAAGAGACTAAAACATGTTTTATTAATTTAGATGTAAGCATTCTAACTGATAAATGGTATGGTGAAAGTCAAAAATTAACTGCAGCTGTATTTTCATTAGCTGTGAAACTTCAACCATGTATAATCTTTATTGATGAGATAGGTTAGTGAGAAAGAAGAATGTATCATAATGTATTTTGTGCTATCATCAATGTTGTAAAATATTCTGTGGATTTTTTCATAGATTCATTTTTAAGAGCACGTAATTCACAAGATCATGAAGCAACAGCAATGATGAAGGCACAATTTATGTCTCTGTGGGATGGATTAATTACAGATTCTTCTTGCACTGTTATAATAATGGGTGCTACTAACAGACCACAAGATTTAGACAGAGCTATTCTTAGACGTATGCCAGCTACTTTCCACATTGGTTTGCCAGTAAATAAAATTTATACAAATTAATAAAAAATCGTGTGTTCTTGCATATATATCACATATTCATGTATGAAATACTGCATATTTACTGCATATGTAACATACAGTTCTTATATATATAATGATATATATTTCAGAATGAGCAACAACGAATGCAACTTCTGAAACTGATCTTAGATCATGAACCAGTAGCTGAAAATATGGATATAGCAAAACTGGCGAAAATAACGGAAGGCTTTTCTGGATCAGATCTGCAAGAACTTTGCAGAAATGCGTCGATTTATCGTGTTCGAGATTATTTGCGAACTCATACACAGTTAATATTTATGTTTAATCATTACTTTAAGAATATATGTAAAAGTTAATATTAAAACGCATAATTAACTTTTTTTGTATTGCAGAGAGGCAAGTACTACCAGTACTGACGATGAGGAATATCATGATGCAGTACGACCTATAACAATGGAAGATCTTCTCACATCGTACAAAAAAATAAAAACATCTAAAATACATACGGGTACTCTTAGTGCTCTTAAATCTGATATAGACTAAACAAGATATTATAATATATCAATCTACTTTAAAATTCTTTTATTTAAAAAAAAAAGTTAGGAAAACAATTTTATAGTAATATTTCTCCTTTTCAAATATCCAAATGTGTGTAAAAAAAATGTTTGCCTTACTGCAAAATTTCATAATTGGTAAATAATTACTTACACTAAAAGGAATAGAGCGCGTGAAAGAAGAATGTATATATACATAACCATGTATATAATATAAAATTACGTTTGATAAAATTATTAACCTACATATTTCAAGACGAAAAAATTTGAGTCTAATTTAAATTATTATACTGCGTACAACACATTGTTTTAATAAGGTTTATGATACAAAGATGATGTAAAAAAGCCTATACTTTCTTCACACGCAATTTGATTAAAAGTCACTGAATTTTTCAATATTTATATTTTGCCATTTTAATTTAATTCTATTTTAATTTCTTTTTTATTAGTTAGTGAATTAAAATTAATCATACTGGTAGTTTCTAAATATGTCCGTGCATAACAGTGCATTTAAGTGTATATACGTGATTTCGATTAATATAGGAAATATTAATATGGATATATCTTCATTATTGTTATGTAAATTAATTTGTTAATTGATTGTTACTTAAATGTATAAGCTTTTGTATTTATCAGTGTACAGATAAGAATTCATAATTCTTGTTCATAAATAAGCAGATATTTCGAATATTATTATTGATCGCGTCTTCGCAATTGATAAAAACAAAATTAGCAGCGATAAAGAAATTATTATATCTAATGCACAAATAATTTAAACTTGAGATGGAGACTATAACCAAACTTAACAGTACGTGTATAGAAAAATTAACACTGTTCGAAAATAATTTTGTGTAAAAGACAATGCAAATTTATGAAATACCGAAAAGAAAGAATTATAGTTTCATATATTAAATAGTTTGTTTCTATGTATACGTATATGACATTTGGTTAAAGATTACAATAACTTTTAATCAGCATTTGTAGTACAAAGAAGAAAAAATTAATAATATTAATAAAATATGATTTTAAGTGTGAGAAATCGGCATTCATAAAATGTTTAGAGAAATAATCTTTGTAGTTTAATAGAAATATTTGATAAAAAGAAAGCATAAATATAAAAAAAAGAAGGAATAGAAAAAACGCATGCGCAAAAAAAAGGATACCGACGGAGTATTTCAGAGAAGAGCAGCAAAAGTTTCCGGGATGAAACTTCTAGGATGACAAAGCCTCTGTGAGCCTTTACCCTGTTCCTTTCTTCTTCTTTCGGTAAGATACGGCAGTAATACCGGTGAAACGCCGAGAATAGACGAGAAAGGAGAATATTTTCTTAAAAGAAAAGGTACATAAATGCTGTTATTAAGCATTGCAGGGAGAAGCGCAAGTAAACGCGATATGAACGCGTCGTTGTGAATGGCGCTTCTAGTGACAAAGGTGGCTGAGGGAGATTTTACATTTCACATAAGATGTAAACTGTGTTTAAAATGGATGTTACAAAGAAAACTTCTGTTCGTTAATTAAGTTGGACTTTTTCTTCATTTTTCCGCCTGACCTTCGTTAACGATTTAACGAAAAGATGGAGATAAAGAGGAAAGAAAAAACGACGATTCCAATCGGATCCCGGTACGATTGTCTGTAAAATCCTGCGTAACATCACGACGGTTCGTTCGCAGAGTGGACAACCATTCCGCAACAACCGCGATGCATGATCTTATGCGTTAGTGGTGAGTGTCCGTATCGCGTGTGCGTGTCTATCCATGTTGGCAAATTGAGGATGCAACATAGACATTGTGTTGTTCCTCACGGTCGTATTCATGAATATGTGCGTTTATTACATCTGTATAAATTCTTTGTCCAAAAACCACTTTATTTTCGTGATAGAATGTGGTTTGAGTTCATATTACTACTTTGACACGATGACACGATTACGCCATCAAAACGTGATTCTTCTGTGAACGGAAACTTCTGAACCAGTTTATACATTTATTGGTGTGATTAGACAAAACTTGTCGATTATAAAGCAATTAGATCAACGGATTCCACGGAGCACTCGAGAGATTTTTATCGATGCTAACTTTATTCTTTAGAAATTCACCGTAACTGGGAGTGCCGCTAGATCGTAGTTGAACATGCTCCGAAAGGACTGGAGTGAATTTTACGTTACATGCGAGAAAAGATTGTTTTTTTACTTTTCAAAAGTAATATGGTATCTCGAACGATTTCTTTAAAATCTGATGCAAGTCTCCTATAAACGATATGTGAACATTAAATTAAAGAGAAGATGGACAATGTATCGGTGAAACTGGCGTGAAAATGTACCGCGGTGTTAAGTGGCCTCTGTGATGTATTATAAACGGTGCTTAACCTAACTTTTCATCGACGCTTCTACACGGCGTTTTCTTGCGAGTAATGTTCTTTTGATAACGAACTTGTAACTAAATGACCATAAATCGCGAATGTTTATCGTTTATCATTTCTTTTCTTTCTTTTTCGCCATGTTCCAAGTGTCAGTTTTTCTTACCGCATTCATGTACGATTTTAATTTATCATAAAAAACATGAGACTATAATCGTTACCTTGTAAAACTCTGAAAATGCTTTTTATTGACTGTACTTCTGATTTTGTCAACGATTGTATGAAGATTAAGTTCACAGTATTTATGCGAGTATGTTATTAACGGTTCTATATCTACCATTTACGTTCAAATATAGGTTTCTTTTATCCTTTTTTTGTATTCTGTCATCTTGATTTTTGTATTACTTGTCAGTGTTTGTATAATGCATTTCTTAATCTTGTTCTAAAGATACGAACCAAATGTATAGATGTATATACATATGTTACATCTGTTATAATTATAATTAACGGTTTAGCACCAACATTTTGTCATTTTTCTCTAGCAATGGTCATGGGCAATCTTGTCATTTTGTTATCAAGAAGAAGTGGAGACTGAAATTATTGGAACTGAAGGAGGAGATTTAAAATTCAGTCAGCCAAGTATGTCCAACACTATCAGTAATATGAAGATGACCAACCGTATCAAGGGAATGGTGAGCAAACGTCGTAGGCGTTTCACAGAAGATGGGTTTGACCTTGATCTCACATGTATCCTTTTTTTTGCAATTATCAGCGTAATTTCTTGATATGTATTGATATTTTTGTTTCTACATTCCTTAACCATGGTGTGTTAACAACAGATATAAGAGATAACTTAATAGCAATGGGATTTCCAGCTGAAAAGTTAGAAGGAGTGTATAGGAATCACATAGATGATGTTGTTAAACTGTTGGAATCTAGGCATAAAGATCATTATAAGATTTACAATCTGTAAGCATTTCAAACACTCTTTTATGCTTATTTTTGTTTCTTTTATCAAAGGATCAAGAAATAAATTTTAAAACAATTATATCTTTCAGATGTTCAGAGAGATCTTATGATTTTAAGAAATTTAAACAAAGGGTAGCTACATATGCGTTTGATGATCATAATCCACCAATGTTGGATCAAATCAGACCATTTTGCGAAGACGTGCACGAATGGCTTTCTCGTCATCAGGAAAATGTAGCTGTCGTACACTGTAAGGCTGGTAAAGGTCGGACGGGTGTAATGGTGTGTTGTTACCTTCTTCATACTAAACAATTTCCCACTGCCACAGAAGCCCTTAATTACTATGGAAATAAAAGAACACACGATAGGTGATTATATTATCTTTTGTTCTTCTTATGTATGAACAATTGTTTTATTAGTATTGTTTATTATTCAGGAAGGGGGTAACAATACCTTCACAGAGGAGGTATGTGGATTATTATGCTACTCTTGTACAAGAAGGACTAGATTATCAACCGGTTACATTGTTGTTACGAAAAATACAATTGGATCCAGCACCTATTTTTCATGGAGGTCAAGGATGTAAGAATAATGAGCTATTGAGGATGCATTGAAAAAATTAGATGTAAAATATGATTACATACAGTTTTTGTATTTTAGATTTGCATTGCGTAATATCTGAATCTAAGAAAAAAATATTTAGCTCTGATATAGTAGAAGTACGAAAAGGAATGCACACAGTCAGCATCCCTTTAAAACACAGCATAGCATTGACAGGAGATATACGAGTGGATTTCTTTAATAGGCCAAAAATGAAGCGAAAGGTACCTATTCAGATAAAATTAATGAGATTCATAATTTCTCATAACATACTTAATCAATTCGTTCGCTCCGTACCTAGGAAAAATTGTTTCATTTTTGGTTCAATACATTCTTCGTACGAGACTACTTATCGCCGGAATACGATAATGGAGAGTTACCAGTTGAGCGTTCAACTAGGGCATTGAGTTGCGATGGTGCAACTATGGAATTACCAGTGGTTATGTCGCACATGAAACCCAGAGCCGGATCCTTAGCTAGTCTCGGACCTATGCCACCTACTCTTGTTTTAAGTATAGATAAATGGGGTCTGGATGACGCGCACAAGGATAAACATCACAAAGTGTATAGCGCTGATTTTAAAGTAAGTACATATAATTGATCACGTTTGATGAGTAAATTAATCACACACATTTGACGCGTTTTACATGTATTTATTATATTCATCCGAATTTTATTCTACGAACAATCATTTTATTCTAACTGATTTAACGTTGTTGTAGGTTAGCTTATTTATGCATCGGATGGGTGGTAATATATCGCAAACTGTATCAGCGACAACAAATAGAACAGGAGAGGGTATACAAATAGGAATGGGAGGACAAGATACCCCGAGCGAATCAAGCGAAGCGGATAGCAGTGAATGCGACACAACTGGTGATACAACGGGAGATGAAGATGGGGAATCTGGTGAGTCTTCTGCATCTCTGGTGGTGAATCACCATCCTCTTACACACAGCAGTAGCCGTACACACGTTAGTATCCACCAAAGAGCTAGTCTCAGAGAAACTGCAAAAGGTTTACTCTCGCATGGGGATAAAAGTAGAAGTAGTCATCGGCAAAGCACTGGCAATGCGAAACGTTCTTCAGCTCTCATACGTTCGGCCACGTTAGACACATAAAAAGAAGTATATATTTGTATATGTACATACACGTACATATGTATATATACATATATTTATCGTATCTTGTACTTAAACGCTGAGTTCTCTGAACTGGCATTCGAGCTTTACAATAACTTTATGTGAAACCAGATCGTGCTATTAATTTCTTTTTGTTATGCTAGCATGAAAAATTAGCATTCGATAAGTTCTTAAATGCATCGATTTTATCTAATGTCCTCTGATAATGAACAATAATATGTGTCTATAGAAAGATTTAGGTTGATCAGTTTCGAAAGATAAGAAGACTTAAAAAATACTTTGGTAGAGAATTTTTATGAAGTTAGTAGAATATCAGAATATTTCGATACTATTCCTTCGGTAAGATAACATTTATCGAATGAATGTTTAATGTTTTGTTGTAGTTCTAAAGTTATAATTAATCAAAGTTATTGATTCTACATCTGTTTAACAAAAGCTTTTGATATTGATAATATATCTGAGATAGTCGATACTAAGTAGATTCCATCGAATGTCCTGAAATAAAAGAACTGCAAATTAAGATATTGTATATTTTTGCATAGCAGATATTGTTTGCAAAATATTAAGATGTTTCAGTATTCAAGATTCAAGATTACGATCTTTTTTCTGAATAGAAATTATTGGATATTTATTATTAAAAATTATTGAAAAAAAATTAATCTCTATTATGACTACCATGTACGTTCCATCTATTTTTCATTAGATTTCCTGAAGTATTTTGTTTCGATGACTGTTTATTTTAACTGTCCGAAGTAGTAAAATTTGATGTATGTGTGTGAATATACATATGTACATACGCACACGCGCGCACGCGTGCCCACGCACATACACACAAACAAACAAATAAGAGAATTCTTAGTGTTGAAGAGAAAGTGCCGTCTTTTGCGTTTATGCAATTATGTAATCACGTACTATGTACGAAACTAGTATTTGTTTTGTAATTGTATGACAAAGCCAACTTATAGAAAATAATTGACTAATGCAATAAGTACGGGAGTAAGAAGCGCGACAATTTGTAATCGTAACATTTTACCGTTTGTACTTGTATTCGACGTGGCATTATGAAACAGATAAATAACTTAAATGTATCCTGATTGCCTTATACAATGTGATGATCGTTAACATTTTGGAAATAGCAAAACTAATTCGCATAGATTTGAGTAGAAGGATGTAGCCAAAATTTGTAAGATAACAAATGTACAGAAAATTTAATTCTTTCAATTTTGTAATAGAAATATGTTATAGATTAACAGGCTGTGCAATTTTTTAAAGTTGTAATTCTTGATATCTTGCAAACACGATTTTCATATCGATGACAAGATACATCTAATTTCAATTAAGTTATCGTGTTCTATCGAGTAAATTATCGTGTGTGAATCTTTGTTACTGCGGTACTAGGATTATATCGTGTGCAAATATTCAAAAATTATCTAATCGAATAACGTTACCTTAAGGATATTAACTTCTTTCTTTTACATAATTACATGTAATTTGAGAGAAGTGTTTTATTATTTTTTCTTTCTATTCGTTTGCTGTTTTTTAAATTATTTTTTTTTATGGGTACAAAGTTACACGAAAAATTCGCGACAATTGTACACAGAAATATTTAGCGAAACCTCGTAAAATTCAGTTTTAAAGAAGCGGTCTTAAAACTGATATTTTACGTTTGTTGAATTATAGTGCAACCATTGAAATGTCGTCCGTATCGAATATCGATTCGGAAATTGTGTATTGAGTTACAAATTTGTGGTACGAATAATAATAGTTACATACAAATTAAATATATATATGTCGTAATAAATTTACGAGAATAAGACTTGCGAAATGGCATGCAAAGAATTGCATACATTGCAAAATGAATTTGAAAACGATCTAATACTGATTTTACTAATTAATTATTTTTCTATTAGATATACATATACATAAATATATATAAATATATATTTATATATATTTATATATTATATATATAAATATATTATATATTATATATATATTTATATATATATATATTATATATAAATATAGGTTTTACAGATTTTCGTACAGCTACGCAGTCATAATTCAAGCGTATATGGATATGATTACGAAGCGGATACGTATACTGTTAGGTAGCAATAAATTGTCGATAAATAAATTAGTATTGAAAGTTGTTACTTGATACGTACACAAAGTTTCCTTATGAGACTCTATTCGCTCCGTTTTCATTTCCTACTTACCTATTACCTCTAAATTTACTCACGTCAAAATCGCAACGATCTTTCTCTATGTTCAATCACACACATTCGCGTGTTTCACTTAATTGTTATCATTAATCTCCTATTTTTCATCTGTTTGCTCATTATCAAGCGAGAGAAGTTTTCCTCACATTTCTTCTTTTCTTTTTCTTCCTGTTTTCTTTTTCTCCCGTTTCTCTTTTTTAAGTTGTAAAAAACATTGAACGTGATCAGAAATTATGAAATTTATTATTATTTAGAAAATGATCCATTTTTCTTTCGATTACTTACGCATTTGAACGTGTGATGAATTAAAATCTCTACGTACGATATGACTATGTAAAAATTCATAAGGTCGTGTTAAAGTAAAACAGAAAACTTACGAATATTTGGATGAAACTTACATGTGATTGTTGTTAATAATATGATTAGGTTATCAAGAAAAGCATAATAGAGGTGCACAAAGTTTCAAACAACATGGAATTCTGATTATGAATAGTTGATACGTATAAATAGAAAGATATCTTTGAAGCTGTTAATATCCGGCGATTTTAGACTTTTATATATATTAGTTTTGTAAATACGTAGTTCATATTATTATAATTGAACAATTCTCTAACCACACAGGGATTAGATATTCGGATGATTGTCATTCTTTGAAAATTTCATCGTTTGTCAATATGTAGTTCCTCTCTGAATTGTTCTTATAGATTGTAGTACTTGTACATGTTTAATAATTTTCATGATTAACATTATATTTATCGTGTCATGCATGAGTATGCAGAAGATAGATGAAGCCTGGCAGTTTTTAATATTTAAAATGCAAATATTCAAAATTTTATCTTGTTTTTTGGTGTATGTTTAGGAATATTATATCAAAACCTTGATTCATTGTAATTTTACACTGGTTTTTGTATCGCTGCATGTTGGTAGTTAATAATAACCATAGTTATCGGATGTCTGTAATATTTTAAATTTGTGAAATTGATACATCTCTATTACATATTCTGTAATGATTATTTTGTGATACTATTATACTTCTGATTATTAATTATATCATTGCTATATCTTTGTATGTACTCTTATTATTAATTATTACTATTTTTATCATTAGTTAATATTGTTATTATTATTATCGTTGTTGTTGTTGTTATTATTATTCTACTACTACTACTATTACTACTACTACTCCTACTACTACTACTATTACTACTACTACTACACTACTACTACTACTGCTACCACTACTACTACTACTACTACTACTACTACTACTACTACTACTACTACTACTACTACTACTACTACTACTACTACTACTACTACTACTACTACTACTACTACTACTACTACTACTACTACTACTACTACTACTACTACTACTACTACTACTACTACTACTACTACTACTACTACTACTACTACTACTACTACTACTACTACTACTACTACTACTACTACTACTACTACTACTACTACTACTACTACTACTACTACTACTACTACTACTACTACTACTACTACTACTACTACTACTACTACTACTACTACTACTACTACTACTACTACTACTACTACTACTACTACTACTACTACTACTACTACTACTACTACTACTACTACTACTACTACTACTACTACTACTACTACTACTACTACTACTACTACTACTACTACTACTACTACTACTACTACTACTACTACTACTACTACTACTACTACTACTACTACTACTACTACTACTACTACTACTACTACTGCTACTACTACTACTACTGCTACTGCTACTGCTACTGCTACCACTATTATTACTTTCACTTCTACTTCTATTACTTTGATTCATTGCCATCATCATCATCATCATTATCATCATCATCATCATCATCATCAACATCATCTACAACATCATTATTATTATTATCTTTAATACTGCAACTGCTACTGCTGTTTTATCGTTATGTTAATACCACCATCAGAGACATCATTATCATTATCATTATTTTATTACTATTACTACTACTATTACTACTACTGCTACTACTACTATCATCATCATTACTACTACTACTACCACTACGACGACCACCACCACTACAACTACTACTGTTACTACTACTACTGTTATTACTACTACCGCCACTACTACTACTGCTGCTACTACTACTGCTACTACTGCTACGACTACTGTTATTACTACTACTGCTACTGCTATTACTGCTATTACTATGACTACTGCTACTATTACTGCTACTGCTACTATTATTACTACTACTACTACTACTACTATTATTATTATTGTTAATATTTCAAACAAAATATTAGCGATTTTTAAGCGTATAAACGTATATTTATATCTCAAATGTATTCCTGTAACAAATATTTTATGGATGATGTTACACATGCATTGCAGTTTTAAATAGTACACTTTTAGAACTTTCTATATACTTACGTCTTCCGATTCTCTGTAATATGCAAACTTTACTTCAAAACTCTTACTACAAAAAATTTTGTTCATTACATACTTGCTTATGATTCCCCACCCTTTTATATTTATCTATGTACTACTTTTCCTTTCTATTTATAAAAAATAAAATATGTACATCGTTTGTAACGCTTTCTCCTTGTAGTTCCTTATTTACGGGAGGATTATGAAGCGCTTGGCTCATTGATTGGACTCAAACATTGTACGTATCCGAAGCACATTCTAAACTAATAATTTGGCAGAAGAGTGTAACATACTTGATCTTCATGAGACCGTATTTGAATATGGATATACAAATTCCTTTGCCTTTTAATGTATGCCGCTGTAACGACGAATAGTATTTTATATAATAATTATACGTCATTTTCCTTTGCATAGCGTCAAATATTTGTTGCACAAGACAGAAATGTAGCATTTTTGCATTGGCAACGTATCATGCGAATGTATCAGAATGTGCTTCTGCCAAATACAAAATTTGAGCTTTATAGATCACGTTATGCCTGTACAGCATTCAAAATTGTATCAAATGTCGATCATGAAAATTTCTCCATTTGGTTTGCTCCGTAGAAGTTATCTTGTTATCTTGCATGTTATTTTTTCTTCCGTTTACATGATCTTTAAGAGCGTTTTGATCTTGGGAGAATGCTATATAGTATTTTAATGTGATTTAATGGATACAGCTTTGTAATTTCCCCTTTTCTTTCGCATGTCCGAATATGATGCTACGTGCTGTTGTCTCGTTATCACGCGTTAAATCTTTTTTATAAATTTAATACGGTGTGGGTACGTGTGTTGGGTGATCTGTTCGATCGTTAATCACTAACACGTTCACTCTATCGCGCGCGTTTATTGTCGATAAAAGACGATGAGAAACGTGAATCTTTGGAAGAATGTGCGTGCGAACAAAAAGAATAAAAAGGAAGAAAGGAAGAAAGAGAGAGTGGGAGTGAGAGAGAAATTTACTTGAAAAGGAATGTGGATAAGAGAAGAAGAAGAGAAATATATAGATATTTGGTAGTGAGCTCACTTTGTCCTCCACCGCACCGCACCGTATTTAGATATAGATTCGATCTAAGAATTGAAATACACAATATTGACCAACTGCCTCTCTATATGTCTGTTCACCCTTAGTGGACATGGACCAGCGTGTTGGACGATACCGCCTTCTATCAGACGGAGGAATGATAGATGTTTTGTGAGTTCATCGCCAGTCATCCCTCTACACTCTTCGACATTGCTGTCTCTCGCATATTCACATGCGGACATTAGAAATTCGACTATCATCTTTATTATCGAAGATGTACGCTCGATTGGAATGTTACGCTCGAACAAACGATCGTGTCTTTTTAACGACATGTAAAGTGTTGTTAGACGACGCATATTAGTTCCAACAAGCCAAAGAAAACGTTTATATCAGTACCGAAATTTTCTTTCGTATCTCGAAGATTCGTGTCTCAAAAATATGTCGCTTTCTTTCTTTCTTAACTTCTTTGACGAATGCGCATCAGTTTGGCTCGTGCTACACACATATTCTTTCTTTTCGTTGAATATGTTTGATCGTAGAGTTCCATTGGAATTTATTTACAAACGCCAAGCATAAATATAAACGAATGTTTTTTTAAATCATGTATTTTATATTTATTATCAACGAGCTGGAAGTTCTCTGAACAAACTCTGAAAGGTAGAAGTAAAAGGAAGAAGAAAATGAAAAAGAAGAGCGGAAAGGCTAAACGTTATAAAAAGAGAGAATCAATGTAAATGGTAAAGAGAAGTTCCATGCTCGGCATATTAAAGATACATAATGCGGCTTGTATAACGCTTATCTCGTTTTGTCGGTGAAACTGCGCATTCTCGCGAATACGAGACAATGGCTGGTGTTTGAAGAAATAGCTGCGTCGGTCTTATAGGCTGAGAAAGAAAGTGTGTTTATATAGATTATGAATCCAGATGGGAGAATAATGCTGTAAAAAAAAGCAAGATTATTTTCGTAACGTTAATAAATTGTAAGTCAATAAATACAGCAACAAGAATGGTAAGGACAAGAAGAACATCAGCATCACCAATATTCACGAGAACTCTAACATCGGTAACCACAACGCCGAGGATGTCGCCTGCTCTTCGTTCGATAACGACGACGTTTATCGTACTTGTGTATTAACTTTGTTTTCCTCTGTAAAGACGATCCAATCGATACACGTTGTATCACCGCATTAGCTAAACACGTAACTTTATGTTTTTCTATTGCAATCGGTATAATTTATCAAAACTTGTTTCACTATGACAAATCTACCGAAAGGAATATGTATATCGAATGATCTAATCTGACGAATTTTGCGATCACAGATACTTATGTATATGCGCAAAAGAGAATAAAAATGAGGAAAAGAGCGTAACAAAAGGAAAATAGACGAGCGATGTAGAATGTATCGTGCGTGAGTCGTCTAAGTATTACATAGTGATGAAAAATCTGGCCGTGCGATGTTTCACTTCGACTCGTGATCACGGCGCGCATAAACATTTTTGCTTTTACCTAAGCTAAGGGTATTTGTGAAAAATTTGCGAATTGCGCCGTGAAAAGTAGAATTGTATAAACGAATCTATTCGATGTAGGGTTCGCAGTTTTTATTCTTTTCGAAAGTAGAAGGCGATACGACGTTAATCGATAAATCGTTACGACGATATCGTCGAATAGATTCTACACCGACTCATCGGATGTTCTACGAATGTTTCTGATCGCTGTTCGTTTACATGGTCTCGAGAAAAAGCAAAATTGAGAGAAAAGAAAGATAGAAAAGCCATAGATGTCGGACTCGGAAGCTATGCGGTTCTGCTCTGTGTTACGGCTAAAAAAAAGATCACGTTGTAACGTTACGATGTTCGCGATGCGTTTAAAAAGTCGGTGCACGCCTGCGACCGTAGTAACGTTCGATGTAGATCGAAATTTTTCGCGAAATTTTGTTCGAATGAAAGGTATGGTTGTTTCCTTAGCACTCGCACAATACGCGAATTCTTTAAGCTTTTGGATGAGAAACGTCCATTTGATCGAATATGCAAAGGATACAAATGAATTTAGAGAACGCAACAAGAATCGTTTCTGACGCCGTCCTTTCCTAACTCATAGCTTGTACGTTGCGATACGATAGTTCGTAACTCGATGCAATTAAAAACGATGATGGCAAATAGAGTCGCGTCATGCATCGTTCTAACTGGCATTTCTTCTAATTTCGCTGTTATTGTATCTTCATTTTGTTCGTTTGTACATGCATCCATGAACGAACTTTTCGATTATGTATACGCTCAGACCGATACGCAGACCGGACAAGTCGCACGCGCGCTACGCAAGAAAATTCAAAATCGACCGAGTCCGTATGTGCAACAAGAGATGATATTGCAAAAACTTATTCCTTTTAACGAAACGTATTAGTATGTTGAAATTTCGCGTGTTTACATCAACGCTTCCTCTCTTTTGCTAACTTGCCGAGTTGATCGTTCGCATAGATTTTAGCCACGAGCCTTAGACAAGGTTACGAATACGAATAGGAATACGCGCGCACGGTTAAGTCAAAAAAATGCGGTCGTTCGTTATCGTTCGCTGGTGCATCTTTCCGTTCGTTGATATAAGTACCGTAAACTTATGAAATTTGCATAAAATTAGTTATGGCACGATAAATACGTTGATACGCGATTCACGTATGTCGAAGAGAATGCATCGAGAAAAAAAGCTCATTCTCGTTTTTCCAATAAATTCTGATCCCGCGTCTCAGAATCTATCTTTATTTCTATGTTTGGTTTTCTTTTTGTCATCGAAATTAAATTTGATGGTTGATAAAATGGAAGAGAGGAAGGGAGGGAGGAGAGAAAAGGAGGAGGGAGAGAAAGAGAGAGAGAGAGAGAGAGAGAAAGAGAATGCGTGCGTGTGTGCGTGCAATGATCGAAAACAGCACAAGAGCGAATGAAATACTTATTCGTGTTATCAGGTAGCGAGTTTTGGATTACCTCGAACGAATTAGTAAATTTACCTCGCTCGAACTATTTTAATCGCATCTGTAGTTCACTGAACTAACGTCGACTCGCTAGCAATCGTTGCGATACCTCAGTTTTTTACCCTCTAAAAGTAACGAAGAAGGTAAACTTACTAAATACGTTTTTACGTACCAATAATTATGGCATACGTATGTACCATATTGTTACTTCTTGTAACGTACACGCTTCTCGGACATATTTTTTCTCATACGAAGCTCATGAATATCGTTTTATAAGTGATATCTCTTAAAACTAACTTTTATATGATTCATGCGGAATGTTCAAAATATAAATAAGATGCATTATTTTTTTCTGTGATATTATATACGAATACAACTCTCCACATATCGTCCCCTCCAACATTTTCGATCATTAAAAAAAAAAAAAAAAAAAAAAAAAAACAGGGTAAGAGAAAAAAGATAGACGACACAAATTGGTATAAATTAAAGTGAAATCAAATGGTATATACGTATCTGTCGTGAACGTATATTCCATCGGAGCGTATAAAAACGTAATACCGTAGAGCGACATAAACTATTCTTGAAATGCATTTCGTAGCTACGATATAACGTAACACCGTAGTCGGATTCCAACGAGAGAAACGATTAGAATTTCGAATCTTCCGTTGGTGTTTAACGCGATACGATTTTTACACGGTTGTTAAAATAGGGTTTATGGCGTTGGTGAAAAGCGCGAGCAGGGACGCGTGGGTGTGCTTCCGCGCTCGCCCATCGACACACCAAACGAGATTACTTTATAGCTATAATCTGTCGTGTTCCGGGCCCATTGTTCCTCGGTGTACGATGCAGGTATGCGCCGGTAGATTATACAATCTCATTCACGTGTACGCCAATGTATTTTTAAACGTTAAGGACGCAATTAAACAACAACACGTTGTTCCTCTCTATTTTGTTCGTTTCATTTTTCCGTATCTCTTTTACTTTTCTTTCTTCTTCCTTCTCGAACTTTTCTAAACGTAGTGCGAGTTTACTGTTTTAACGATGATTTTTGTTTGTTCTTATGAAATACGCTAGGAAACAACCTGCATAAAGTAGGAAACGGAGAAAACCGAGATCCTTGCCACTCGCATTCGCAGAAATTTAAATTCTTTTATACAGGTACGCATTTGCTCGACGCGATTTTGCGTTTTGCGTTTCGTTAACTATGTACATGTATGCTAACAAGTCAACTTTCCACGTAATTCACATTGACTCTGCTTACAGGGGAGTCGACCTATTTGTGACTTTGAAACTGTAGACCGATCCGATGGAGACCGATCAGAACTAAACTCTACTCTCAAAAAACGGTCCACTTCACTGCGACTCATCGTTTGCTCACGAACGAATTGATCAGTCGATACCAACGAGTTCTGCCTGTGCCTGCCAGTTCATCGCTATACATATATATTCGTATTCTTCTTAATAGCTGGTAGAATTTCAAAAAAATTGCGTTTCTTTCTTTTTCTCGTTCTCTCTCTCTCTCTCTCTTTTTCTGTCTAATCACCTTTACCATGTGTAAGATAGTTCTCTTCGCTTACACGGCATTTTTTGGAAAAGAAAAAAATGTGATCATTTCCCAGCGAATCGCTGTATGGAAGACTGCGTGAAAAAAAAGACGCGTTTCTTAACTCGGACGATTAACACCTTCTAATTTATACTTTCGACGACCGATCGTACCGTTGATCGATTTTAATTTGTAGATACTCGTTTCTCGTATATTTTATATCGACGACAATATGTAATTAGCTAGAAAGAAATATATTTTATACTCGCGTTGACCGCAAGGTTCGTCGTTCGATATTTTTACGCATATTGACGATCATTGTTTTAAGGCAATGAATTTGTCACCTTCTTCTTTTCGTGATTTTATTCAAACGATAATTTTGGTTTCGCAAGCTTTTCTTTCTCTCAGACGTTCAATGAACCGAATCGGTAAGCACATCCAGTGTTCTATATTTTTTATCGTCGAGATAATTCCATTCTTTAATTTATTGTACTCGCCGAGCATAGTAATCGTACGTAGATTTAGAAGTTATACGAATTATTATGAAACGAACGTTTTGTAAACTTTTGGCGATGCGTCAGCGATGAAAATCAAAGGATGTTATTCCATGAAATCTGTAATTTAAGAGCGTCGTAAATCGATTGTCGTTAAGCATGATTGGTTCCTCTTCGTTACGTTTAAAGTTCATGGAAAGTTTCAGATGCGAGAAAATGCGAACCATTTATCGAATACGTATTCTATACTACCGGAAGCTTTACTGGGGCCAAGAAGTATGTTCGTAAGTTTCCGTGGATCGTATAAAAGTTGTAAATGTAGTTAACTATATAGTAAGTTGTATTTATAGAAATTTCAATATTCTCAAGACACAAAGTACAAAGTAATATGACCGGATCTCAAACGTTTCGAAATAATCGCGTTTGCTTTTTAAGAATGCGTATACTTAAGATGCTAAGATTTGTATAATCGTTCTTAAGCAATTAGACGAAAATTTAGAAGCTCTCGGCTAATTGTGCCGGTGAATGATTGATATATTGTTAAGCGACCCACACGCGTAAGTAGACATAAAGCATTGATATTCTCGGTGACCATCGATTCGACACTGGACTTTATTTCAAACATGTTGTATATTGGTTTGCGTTACAAAATATTCCAAATAGGACGCGAATGAATAAAGGTATTTACACGTAATACGGTGTACATTGTTAGAAACATCGTGATATTCGATTCTAAATCATAAGTCAGGGTGTGAGAGAAATGCCCGATAATTTCGATATCATTCGCGCGTTAACTAATTCGTTGCGTGATTATATTTACATGTAATTGAAGAGAATTGGAATATTCGGTAGCGCGCTGTATTCGAACTACGCTATAACACAATATGTAAAACAAATTATCGTACAATACAAAGGTACAAGTTTTCTTCACGTGATACCGAATCTTTTAACGGAAGAGATGTGGTGATCTGGTTGCCAACGTTCTGGCAACGTGTGGTGTATTTGATCATTACAATATGTAAAGAAAGGATCTGAAACGATCATCGATGGCGGACCGTTTTACCTTCCTCTACCACGTCCTCGAGTGAAACCGCCTCTACCTCGACCGGCGACTTTTCCCTTTGGCGGTGGAGACTTTGGTCTGAGAGCTTCGATACGTTCTGTACAACCAGTGGTGATTTGACCGTTGGCAAAGTAACTAGTATAGAGGTCTGCGTTAAAATTCGTGTTGGTTAGCTCAGGGCCTACAGTAAGCCAGCCTGGTCGAATAGTACTGTCTCGACCGAACAAATGCAGTCTATGTAAAGTGCGAAAAATATTGTCGATTAGCTGAGTGAGTTGAACGCCCTGATACGTATGTACATGCTTTCCTCGCTTACCGTCGTCTGCCGAGACAGAAGTGTTCGATTATATGAAAAATCTCGACAGGCTTTTCTATAGAACCATATTCGGGCTCCTCCGAAATGATCAAATCAATATCGACGTTTGCATGAATGAAATCTCCATCCGTGGATCGTCTGACGGTCCCCTTGATACCCATTAGGCAGTGCTCTTTGGTTCTCTGAAGTACGGCCTTGCTATCTAGGTTTTTACTGTGCCCCGGGTTATTAATGTTGGTGCGAATCCAGCATATGTCTTCGCATCGTCTAAAGCCCCATTTTCGAAGACAGAAACGTCCCATATCTAGTCCATCGCTACTGCCACACCACAGAAACACGAAGCTCCGATTGGCCGCCACTTCGCCGATATCCAATTCCATTATCTACGAATATAGATTGTTTTTAATAAAGGCGTTACGAGTAGAGAAGAGGTACGTTGTATAATCTCTACTCACCTGATCCCAATTCCAAAGTTGCACGTTCGTAGCGCCGCAGGTGCGTTGGTACTCTTCCAAAGGGGGTTCGATCAAAATTACATCGAACTTGCAATTCAGTTCCTTCAAATTGTACGTAAGCAGGTCAGTTTTTAGGTACATGGGAGGTGTTGCGGTTTCAGCGATTAAATCATCTTTCAACTTGATCAGCTCCCGCAGTTTCGGGTATTCCTCGAATCTGTCCGCCAGACCCACGTCCCTAATGAAATTTTGTGGTCGCTGACCCGTATCAATGAAATGTTGACAGTAGTCATTATGCGGATTCGACGATTGTGTTCCCTTAAAAAATAAATCTGTAGTCGAAAGTGGAAACAGATAGTTGCTTGGTTATGAATACAAACTCGCCTACCTTTAAAAATGTTGACGAGTCTTTGTAAACGATTTCGTCGGTCGGACCTGTCTCACCTTTTAAATCTTTCACTCCGTTCTCCGATTTCTCTGATACCGATTTCAATTTTTTCTTCTGCGTATCGTCGACATCCGTTCCAAGAATTTGCCGCAACTCGTCTACGCTCGAAACACCTAACTACATAGAAGAAACGAATTCATACCATTCACAAACTCTTACTTGCGATCATAACCTCAACGTCATGAAATCACGTTTGAGTAGTCCTCACCGTCTGAGCGAGCAACTTCTTGCGTTTTTGCGAACGTTCGCGTAGCGTCTGAAGCATTTTCTGCTAAATCCTTTGGAACTGGCCGCAAAATAATATCTATCGTACATTTCCGTTTATACTTATTCTGTTCATTTCCTCGGTTCGAAAGGGAGAACAAGCAGAACAACTATAAATGTAATTTGTTACTTTCCTTTTATCTTATAATTCAGTGATCGAATTTAAGAGAAAGTTGGCGAAATTTAACGTATGTACAGTCAATGATAATCCGCTGCTTCCTAACCCAACACTCCAAAAGATCTGAAAACAAAACGTACACGCACGCCATCTTGTAGCCAAATGAATTTTCATTTTTCTTCATGTATCGCGCTAAGACAGCGCGTAAACGATGAACGACCTCTCGTGGAAAACCGTGTAACAAACGACAAGCCTGCTTTGCGTCCGAGCAACGTTCGAAGTTGCTATCACGCACGAAGAAAATGACGTTTTTACTTTTTCAAAAAAAAATATGGTTGCAAACATATAACGCCAAGCGAATCGAAAAGGCTTTCTCTGGGCTCGTTCTTGCGTTATACTGTTCTCGATGCGATAGCGATCGCTATCGATTTTAGCATAATCTCTAAACATATTAATAGTATAAATCGTTTCGACGAGCAATGTAGTCTTAAAAAACGAAAAAGATCTCGCTCTAAGTAATAGGTGCATTTTATATGTTTCTCGATGGATTATTAGAAGAACCACCTGGAAAGGGAAGGAGGATTAGAAGGTGGAGTGATCGAAAGCGAAAGTCGAGCGAGAATAGTGAAAGAAGAGTGTGTCACGAAAGCGCAGCTCAGTGAAATAAAATAACCAAGATAAGAGTGGCGGTGGACGCGGTGACGGGAATGGGCACGAGTACGAAGGAACGATTGTAGAACGTTTTATGATCGACACAGTCTCCCTTAGTCTGCTTTGAAATCGACACGCGATCGGAGTCCTCAGGAGGAGCGCCAACGCAAAGCGGTGACAATCGGTCACGAACAGAATCGCAGTACGGTCGTTTTCTTGTAAAATGTAAGATTTTCAACAGGTGACGAAAATAGACGTTTGAAAGCATGACCAGGATTGGTAGGCCAAGGCTAGTTGAGATTCGATTTTCCTTGGAGGACGCGGAGGACAGCTAGTGGACCGCGCAACTAGCCATAACTCACCCTTGATGAATAATCGAGACGAAGACCATATGAAATCGTAGACAATTTGGTTTATGGTAAGCGTTTGTTTAATTTGACGTAATGGGGCGGTGCGAGCGGATCCTTTGTTCAGAAACTTCTATGTTTACGGATTAAAAATTAATAAAAGCAAATTAATTTCTCATTCTAAACACTTATTTTGATTGATTTAGTACTACTAGCGTTAACTCATATTGGCCAAGTAAGAGGTTAAGCAAAGGAAGAAGATCGATCACGCAATTTTGAGATATACAACTGACAAAACGTTGCTATATGCGAGGATGAAAGTAATTTGCGTAAAACAGGAAAAAAGAACAGAATCTATACATAACCTAACTGCGTTGCTCATTGAGCAGGCTCAATTAATCGGGTAGATAGAAATGCTGAAAAATTTCGACGACGTTCTAGTTCTAGAGTAAATTTGAATAGGCGATGAATCGGCACTGGTCGGTAGCGATCGGTATTAACCGGTGAGAGACGAAACCCTCGTTGACACAGTCCATCACGACGGTGTCAAGGTAACGGTCGTAGGAAGCACGTAGCGAAAGACTGTGCCGTCGTCGCGTCGCTTCCTCGTTGTTCACCTCGTCGTTGCTGTCGTCTTTCCGTCGTCTTCGTGTTCACTATCGTCAAACGTTCCATATTGTCTCGACTGACCAAGGTTCGCTTGAATTTTCATCGTGATACGACGCAAAAAGTGCGCCGGTTAATCAAGGTTCGTATGTTGGAACAGTCGATCCATTTGGATAACCAGTAAACGAGTCTTTATTTGTTTAAATAGCTAGGTTCGGTAAATGTTCGAATTACGATCTGTGATCGGCCCCACTATTGTATCGCGATTCTTTCGAGTTTGATCATAACTATAACGATTTTAATTATTACATGGACTTACATTCCGCTCATCTCGTGACCGTGTAAAATTAGTAGAATTACGTTGAGGTTACGCGAAGGACAGGAGGCGAGACTCAAAGGAAGCAAATATCTATCGAGGTTGAAGCAAAATGTCAAATGGAGGAAGGACGAGAAAGAATTTGGGACGCGATAGGGGGTGAATGGATGGATGGCGGCAAATTTGATCAAGGGCGTCCCGATCGGAAATTCGACGGTATCAGCAGGTATAGTTTCGGTATCGGGTGGATTAAGTTTAGGGTATCGTCCGGCGATCGAATGCATTGTTTTCGTCAGGGTAATCGACGAGGCATGAGTCACGTAGGTACACGCGACATGTCGCGCGTTGGCGAAAACAATTTTTTGCAGACATTCGTTGGCACAGGTGTGTTGGAGCGAGAAGAGAACACCAACGAGAGAAAGGTAGATGACAGAGGTAGTCTCGCGAACCGCGTCGGCGGAGGGGGGAGAGGGATAAGAAAAACCACGCGTCGAGTGAATCGTCAGCCGGGCAATTACCGGTTCCGATTGGTTGGTTTGTCGAGCCTCTTCCACGAAATTCAGCTCGAATTCCAAGAAATCGGCCGGTGGCGCTACGCTCACCGGAATCCCTTAAGCTATTTACGCGAACGGTGTGGGCAATAAGCGTCCTATAGTCGTTGGTCCTGGACGGTGGTGGTAGCGTACAACCCACGCATACGGAGCGAAACACGGAACACGGAAGAAAGAAAAGGAAGACGACGCGCCGATTCGAACGGGGTTAGAGATATAGAAACAAACGATCAAGGAGAAAGTGAAATGGCGGGAAAATATAGAAAGAGAAAATAAGGGGACTGGCATGGCGTATAGCGCGATCGAGATCATTGCGCTGCTCAATTTCGTGCGCGTCATTGACGCGACACGCTCGTCGAATTCACGATCGATATCATCGCGTTTCCTCGTAGAAATGGGCCGATACCGCATCGCCATTATTCTCAGATTTCCCGAAATTTCGCGTTTTCGCTGCCCTCGTTTCGGATGCCTTTATCCTTGACTCGTGCGTTGTGTCGTCCGCAGTTGAGTGAATATGTAAATCGTTCCGTTTTGTATTTGTTTCTACAGGAAGGATTGATCGAGTTGGAACGGTGAAGAGTGGTTATCGAAGAATCTGGACAAGATGAGACCCGACGAGGTGATACAAAACGAGAGAAAAGCGACGGAGACGATGTCCGAGACGTCGGAGGGCACAATGACGACCAGCGTCTCTGGTAAATCGGGTTTCGAGAGTCGCCAAGAATTGTTCGACATTGCGGCTGTACTTGGCATTGGCAATCCAGAC